TAAAGGGCTCCCTTACCCTGAAGCTTTTCAGGTGTAAGCCAGGAAAAGCTACATACATACATACATATGTATATATCAAGATATAAAGATAAAAAATTTTAAATTTAAAATTTTTTACAAAGGGCTTTAGCATAACTATTTGCATCAGATCAAAGAAAACAATAACTTCTTTACAAGTCAGTTAATTAACTAACATTTGTTAGGTTCTTTCTATGGGTCTTATCAGATAAGATAAAGAGTAGGAGGTAAGTTCCTAGACCTATTCAAAGTTCCAGGTGTTTTTTTTGTTATCTTAAATTGATTGGAGGAAGGGAAATACTGAAGAAGATACTCAGTATTTGTCAGAGACATTTTTTTTTTTGGTAATTGGGGTTAAGTGATTTGCCCAGGGTCACACAGCTAGTAAGTGTTAAGTGTTTGGTCTAAGGCCAGATTTGAACTCAGGTCCTCCTGACTCCAGGGCCGTGTTCTATCCACTGCACCACCTAGCCGCCCCAAGACATTTCTCTAAATATTTAATAAACCCTTACCAAACCTCTCTCCCAATTCCAAGTGCTTTCCTTCACATCAATCTCCACTCACATGACCCCACCTTTTTTCAGAATTCTACCTATTCTCATCTCCTCTCTACTTAAACTTTCCTTCCTCTCCTTTTATATTCCTCCAGTGGACTTTGATTAAAGCCCTTCAAAAAAGCTCCATTCTTATTTCTTTCCATATTCTGATGTGATACATCTCTTACTTTTGCCTACTTGCTTAATTCCTGTAGTCTTTATTTCCAAATCATATCCCAGGCTATCTATAGAATTAATCTTCACTCCACTAGATTTTTCATTTACAATTTACCAAATGTTTTTGTTGCACGATACCAGTTAATTGCAATACTGTTGCCTTTGGGGTTCTTAAAAGCTTGCAAATATAAGATCTACTCCAATACCTTTTGGCTATTTTGCTTTTAGTTTACCTAAACAAGTTCTGTTATATCATTCACAGAAGAAAAAGCAGTGGTAATGATGTAGTTTGGGATGCTGACAAGGTTTAGAAGTGCTGAGACCCCCAAACTATCAGGGAATGAATTCACACACTCAAACCAACTTCCAATCAAGTGGCAAAGTTCCTTAGGAAACTTGCAAACTAATGAGAATGAGCTGATGCTTATATACAAAAGGACACTGAAAGGATCTGGGTGGGATCAAGGAGTGGTAAATAGTCTGGGGTGGGACAGTTTTGATAATGGAAGGAATGTCAAGTAGATCATTTGGTGACCTGGATGGGATTAAGGAGTGGTAAGTAGTCTGGAGTGGGCCTGGTAGCAGTAAAAGGAAAATCAAGTAGGCTAATTAGGTGATCTGGGTGGGATTAAGGAGTGGTATGCAGGCTGGGGTAGGCCGGGTGTGAAAAGTGTGCCAAGGAGGAATGTCAAGGAGCTGATTAGGTGAATCTGAGTGAGATTAAGGAATGGTCTGTATATGCAAGTAGTCTGGGGTGGGCCAGGGTAGGGGCCAGTGGTCTGGGCTGCTGAAATGTAACTTAACTGCAAATCCCATTTTTCCCATCATTTTAGAATTTCACTGATACTATTTTCAAATTAGCTTCAGTTCCCTTTCTTTTTTTTTTCTAATTAGTGAAATCACCTCCCTCCTTTGCAGTAAAACAGTGAATCTATCACTCTGTGCTAAGAGGTCTAAAGTGCTATTTCCACATAAATTTCACAGGGTTTATTCTTATTTTCTCTTTAAAACAAATTCTATAAAGCAATACCCAAAAACTCCCTGTGATATTTCAACATTTATTTAAAAATTGCAAACCACAATTTGGAGATTTACAGTTAGAGAAATTATATTTTAGTCATAAATTTAGTCTCTAATTACTTTTATAAATTCCTAAAGACCAGAAACAAAGATCCCTTTCCTTCTTAGCTATCTTTAGTTCTGCAATCCAACCTGTAAGAGTAAGAGAGAGAGAGAGAGAGAGAGAGAGAGAGAGAGAGAGAGAGAGAGAGAGAGACTTCTGCTGAAGACTTTGAAAACTCCTCAGAAAAAACATTTTAACTTTTTCTTCTGGCTGTAGAAGTCACAGAAAGAAATTAGTTTGATTTACACAAAACATAGACAATATGACAAGAAAGACACATAGAAGTACTTGCCTTCTTATTTCCTACTGAAGGTTGAATAGTAAGTCCCTGCTTGAGCTGGGAGAACTATTTTGAAATTCCACCCTTCTCCTACAGAGTGGTTTCCTAAGAAGAGTTCAAGACTTTCCTTAAGCTTTATTCATAGTCATTCTCTTTTGAATGGGAAATCTCCCCTGTTGTTAGGCTAATAAGAATTTCCCTAAGAGGGTGCCTTATGGTATCCTCATCAGGGACTACTAACCTCTAAGGAGATACTTTTTGCTTGTGGTTCAGGAGGATATGGAGGTTCAGGGACAGGTGGACCTTTGCTGAGGAAGTCCGTTGGTAGAAATCTTTACCAGAACACATCCTAGGGCAAAGGTCCAGCCATCACACAAAGTCACAATCTCAAATCCCTTTATGGTTGCCAAAACTATCATGATGGGGAAAAAAAAAAAAGAACCAATGATTTCCTTCATAATGCATGCAGTTGCAAAAACATACAGGATCCAGGACTCTTCAAATCCCAAGAATCCCAAATCCAGGTCTCTGTGCAGTAAAGTACAGTTTGGAGAGAATGAAAATATATGATATAGGGACTGAGTTACCTTGTTCATAAGTGGTGGAGAAGATCAGAAGACATTCAGGAGAGAGGTCATTTTGCAACATTTTTTGAGCTGGGTGATAGTGGAGAGGGAAAGTCATCTTATAACTTCTCCAAACTCAGGTGATTTTTGAGACCTAACTTCACAAAATGCTGATGCAGTCAAAATGGAATCAGCAGTGCTATTTTTTAATGTTGCTTCTTTTACACAGTTAAGTGCCATTTCCTAATTTGGAATGTTCTAAAGACTGACATAAACCAATGAAGAATTTGGCTGTAATGTATCATAAAATACATATCCCCCTCCCCACCCCTCCCGGATCTGTACAATATTCAGATGGGTGAAGACATAGTCACTGAACAAAGCTTAATAAGGTGCCCTTTCCAGTTCACTGGTCAACTGGGCATTTTTCCTTACTTCATCAAATGAATTGCTTCTTCTCAACTTCCCATTCTTGAAGACAGTATGGAGAAGATCATGACTACATTCTTCAAGATCTCCTTTTCTTTCCTCAAGGGTAAAATAATTTCTAGTAAGTGTACTATGTACAGGTAGCCTGCCCTTTCTTAACCTGCTGTTGGGATCAGCAACTGGGTCCTTAAAGACATTGATTTTAAGGCTGTTGGGAACCACATAACTGCATTTGAAGGAACAATTCAGAAGATCTCTTCTTAACTTCTGTAATAGAGCTCCACAAGAACCAAAGGAAATGTTTTCAATACTCCATTTGTTTGTCTTCAGGACTTCAACAACCTTTTCTAAGGTGTTGCTATCAATTCCATCTTCCTGAATAACTCTGGGATAAGGTGGCAACAATTTATAGCCTTTTGAGTTTTCATTAACTGGAAACTTCTTACCTACTATATCCAAAACCCTTAATACAATGTCAAGAGGGTTTCCTGAATCTGGTGGAACAATCAGTGGTGTTTCTGCACTCCTTGATACAATCAAATGGCTTAAATCTTCCCCCCCAGATTTTCTCACATGCATTAAAGCGGTCATAGCTCTCACTGACTACAGACACAGGCACTGATGAAAACTGTGTTACTGTTTTTTCAAAGGCATCCTTTTTATGATCTTTGCCCCATGCCTTTATGGCACTGTGTTCTGCAGCTGGAACAGAATATCCAGGCACAGGATCTTTTGTTCCATAATATTTTTAATTAAAGAATTTCCTGCTACTGTACCACTTCCCTTGAAGTTCATCAAATGAGCAGATACTCCTATACCAGCCATCTCTTGTAAAGAGAATCCTCAGTAACTGAAATCATGCAACTGGTACTCCAGACCCTCTAGATGACCACATGTTTCCATCAAATACTTTGCCACTTTTCTCTTCTGCTCTCTGGAATTTATAGCTTCTGTGTTTGGGTACCAGCACGAAAAAAGGATGGTCTCAATCCAATTTGTTAGCCAGTAACATTCAGGATCTGTGTTTTCCACCCTGAAGAGAACGTTTCCTCTGGGAATGAAAGAGCCCTCAGGAACTGCTTTGACTTGTATAGGAAGGTGGCCATCATAATTCTCAAGAATATAACTCCATCCCTTTTCATTAAAGACATCATGTTGAAAAGCTCTCTGTAGATCTCTTTGGCTTTCTTCATTTTTTCTTTCGTCTCTGCTTTCCCTTTTAATTGGAAGACCTTTCTTACATTCTAGAACACTGTCTTGCCAGGCATTAATGCAAGAGGATTGGGAGTAGGAAAGGACTTTAAAGAAACTATGTGCTTTACTATGCCTCAATTTTACTGATGGTAAAACTGAGTGCCAGAGATAAACGCAGGAACTGACAAGGCACAGACACCCTAAGGAACCTGAAGAGAAAACACAAAGAACTTTGTTAATGCCCTGTTTTATTTTCTGATTGATGGACGAAAGGCAAGGAAATTGTTCTTCAGAGCCAGTGCTTCCTCACACCCATCCACAAATGTTAAACTGCCTCCTGAGGTGTGAATCTTAAGGTGGTGCACAAGGCCCCGCCCTTTCCCCCTCCCTCCTCCTCCAGGATAAAAAGGGCAGGGATCAGTGGAACTCACTCAGAATCAGGAGAATAGCAGACAGCAATCTCCTTGCATCTCACTTCACTCCTTCCCTCAACCCTCTGTCCAAGTGGTGACTTAAGCCACAGCCAGGTAGAGAACCCTCGTTTTTCCCTTCCTGGCAGCTCTGTCCTGGGCTCAGCCAGGAGTAGCAGTGAAGAAGGGGCAGAAAGAAGGTCGGTCCACTGACCCTCTCTCCAGCCAGTGCCCTGCTGGGTCTCCTGCAAACACCTTCCAGCCAGCATGGCAACTTCATCACAAGAAGTTTTACTGATGGTAAAGAAGATGTCTCAGAGGAAGCAGGATGGGGCCCTGCACCTCATGGCAGAAAAGAGAGCTTGGGCACCTGAAGGCAAAGACAGCAGCTTTACAATCAGCTCCAAGTACTCTGATACTGAAAGCCAGAAAATTAGTCCACTAAGAAAAACTACCACGGAATGGCAAGGGAGGGATAGAGGAAAACATAAGAAGAGACAGCAAGAAAGAGATTCTGATGGGAGAAAGTACAGAAACTCTCCTTCACCAGGCAGAAGGAGGACAGAAGGAGCAACCACTCAGAGCTCATCTGCTCAGGACGAGACCCAGACAAAGAAGAAGAAAGTCCACTTGGATCCACTCCTCCTCCTCAGAGGTACTGCTTATATTCCTCCTGCAAAGCTCAGGAGGATGCAAGAACAGATTACTGATAAAAACAGCTTAGAGTACCAAAGGATGAGCTGGGAGGCCTTGAAGAAGTCCATCAATGGTCTTATCAATAAAGTGACCATTTCTAACATGGGGATTATCATTCAAGAACTCCTTCAAGAAAATATAGTTAGGGGAAGGGGATTGCTGGCTCGATCTCTTTTGCAAGCACAAAGGGCATCTCCAATCTTTACTCATGTCTATGCAGCCCTTGTGGCAATCATCAACTCCAAGTTCCCCAACATTGGAGAACTGATCCTAAAGAGGCTAATTGTCAATTTTAGAAAAGGCTACAGAAGAAATGAGAAACAGCTCTGTCTAACTGCTGTGAAATTTGTGGCACACCTTATGAACCAGAATGTGGCACATGAAGTTTTATGTTTAGAGATGCTCACCTTACTTCTTGAAAGACCAACAGATGCTAGTGTGGAAGTAGCCATTGGATTTCTTAAAGAGTGTGGCCTGAAATTAACAGAAGTATCACCCAGGGGGATGAATGCTATATTTGAACGCCTTGGCAACATTCTCCATGAATCTGAAATTGACAGACGGGTTCAGTATATGATTGAAGTGATGTTTGCAGTAAGGAAGGATGGATTCAAGGACCACCCTGTTATTTTGGAAGGCCTTGATCTAGTGGAGGAAGAAGACCAGTTCACTCATCTGCTTCCATTGGAAGATGACTATAATCCAGAGGATGTACTTAATATCTTCAAGATGGATGCTAATTTTATGGAAAATGAAGAGAAATACAAAATGATTAAGAAAGAAATCCTTGATGAAGGTGACAGTGATTCAGACACAGACCAAGATACTAGAAGCAGTGAAGATGAGGAGGAGGAAGAAGAGGGAGGTAAAGATAAAGAAGGACAAAAAGTGACTATCCTTGACCAAACAGAAACCAGCCTGGTGTCATTTCGTAGAACAGTTTATCTCACTATTCAGTCAAGTTTAGGTGTTGAAGAATGCACCCACAAATTACTGAAAATGGAGTTCCCTGACAGCCAAAGGAAAGAACTTTGCAACATGATGCTTGACTGCTGTGCCCAACAGAGGACATATGAGAAATTTTTTGGCTTGTTGGCAGGGCATTTCTGCATGCTGCAAAAGGAATACATGGAATGCTTTGAGGATCTTTTCAAGGAACAATATTACACAGTGCACCGCTTGGAAATCAACCAATTACGCAATGTTGCCAAGATGTTTGCTCATCTCTTGTGTACTGATTCACTTCCATGGAGTCTTCTGAAATGTATAACATTGAGTGAAGAAACTACTACATCTTCCAGCAGAATTTTTGTAAAAATATTGTTTCAAGAACTTTGTGAATACATGGGACTTCCTCAACTTCATGCAAGACTGAAGGATGAAACATTGCAGCCATTCTTTGAAGGGTTATTCCCCAGAGACAATCCAAGAAACACTCGGTTTGCCATCAACTTCTTTACTTCCATAGGTCTGGGAGGCTTAACAGAGGAATTACGAGAACATCTGAAAAAGGCACCCAAGATCTTCTTAGCCAAGGGATGTTGAGTCCTCAGATTCCTCCTCCTCCTCCTCTACCTCTTCAGACTCTTACTCCTCAGACTCTGATTCTGACAGCAGCAGTGATAGCAGCTCAGACTCATCCACTGGCAGTGACTCCTCATCCACAAGTGGCCATAGCTCTGACTCAGATAAAGATAAAAGGGAAAAAAGAACAAAGAAAAAATAAAGAAACAGATAAAACAGTTAAGAAAAAGAGAACAGGTGAAAAGAAACATGAGGATAATAAAATGGAAACAAAGAGAGCAAGAGACAAAAACTGAAGAAGACAGAGGATTAGAAAAAAATATATAGACAGAAATTGAAGTACAAAGAAAAACGCAGAGATGTTGCCCTGAAGGAGCTCCCATTGGAAAGAAGGGAAGGGTGTGGTGGGGGTGGGGGTGGGGAAGGGAACCATAGTTTAAAACCAAGTTTTAAACCCACTAAGGGTTTTCCTGGTGGTTTAAATTTATATTAAACAAATCAATTAAAGTACTTTGTATAATAAAGGGTTTTTTTAATACATAAAATAAGAAACAATGCCGTTGTTATATTATTCCACTTCAATTCTTTTTAGACATTTTTAGTTTTCAAATTGCTTCAGGAAGGTTATTTGGCAACTGCAGAGAGATGGCTTCCTAAGGAAGGAGACAGCAGGGAGAGAGATGTGGAGGTCACTGCAATAGGAAAGAGCTCATGAGAACCCCAATGGGGGTGGCTACTTTCCTCCTACAGTAGAAAAATGGAGAGCCACTTCTTGGATTTGTTATCATGGAGTTGGCCTTCATATGTATGTAGAACTAAATGGCTAGAGAGGTCCCTTGCTAATCTCAAGTTCTGTGACTCTCAGTAAGTGGATGGAAAGGGAAGTAATGAAAGGGTGCTTGAGAAGACTTGGGAACTGATTGGGTGAAGAAAGGGAAAGGAAAGAACCTGCCTATAGATTCAAATGTCTGCAAGGGTCTGTGCTCAAATCAGATTGGAAAATCCATTGAGCTAAACATCCATGTTTTCATAACACAGCTCCTTACACACAGGAGCACTCTCAGTATGGTGAAACTTGTCCATCCAAAGGATTCAACCAGATGTGTGAACTCTGGGGGCCTCAGGGCTGTTACAGCCAGCAAGGATTAACAGGTAGAACTGCAGGGTTGAAGGCTAGAGGAGTTGACACCTTGTCTGGGAGGCCCTAAAGGAACAGAGCAGTCACTGCTGACTGACCTGACCAATTGGCTCTGCCCCCAGCTTTTGCAGAACACTGAGGAACATAGCCAGTGTGCCAGGTGCAAGGAAGGGCTCAAGCTGTTTTGTGAAGATGACCAGACACCCCTCTGTCTGAGATGTTCCCAAAGCCCAGAGCATGGGGCTCACAAGCTCTCTTCTGTAGAGGAGGCTGCTCACAACTGCAGGGAGAAGCTCCAGCACATTCAGAGTGACTTGGGCAAGCATCTGGAGGAAGCTGAGAAACTTCCTGATGAGGAGGAGACACCTGCTGTTGACTGGCATTGGACGATCTCGGGAAAATATAACAAACTTCACCACTTCCTCCTGTTGGAAGAAGCCATATGTCTTGAAAGGATAAAGGAAGAGGAGAAGGCAAGCCAGGACAGACTCTCCCAGCATGCAAAGCCTTTAGGACCTCATGCTAGGGCTGCAGGAAGCAGGCCACCAACCCAATGTGCATCTGCTACAGGAAGTCAAGAAGTTGCTGGGAAGGACTGAGTCAATGCTGTCCCAAAGGGCCAAGGCTGTCACCCCAGAGCTGAGAGAATACCCCATCCCTGGCACGATGGAGATGCTCAACCGTTTCAGAGTGGACATCACACTGGATCCCACATCAGCCAGTCCCTGTGTGATTGTTTCTGAGGAGCTGAAGAGTGTGAAGGCTGCAGAAGGCTGGCAGGTGGAGACCATGCACCCTGGGGACCCTGCTTGGCATTATGTCTTTGCTGATCAGGTCTTCAGCTCAGGCAGACAGTACTGGGAGGTGGATGTGACTCAACTCCCTCAGTGGATACTGGGCATCTCTACCCCTTATCTGAGCAGAGAAATGTGTAGGAATATGGACTCATGTGCCTCTCTGTTCCTGCTTCAATGTATCAAGAAGGAAGAGGATTACTATTTCCAAACCTATCCTGGATCACTGAACCATCAAGTGAAAGACCCTGTGCCCAGGTTGGGGTATACCTGGAATATTCTTCTGGCACTCTTGACTTTTACAATACCATCCAGAGCTCCCTCATCTAGAAGTTCAACCCCATTCTCTTCCCAAAGCCTGTCACACCCATGTTTTTTCCTGGCCCCCCACTTCCAGGAACAAGGGCTGCTCCCATGACTCTCTGTCCAGTGGACTCTCATCTTTGTGCTTGATGCCATTCCTCTCTGAGAGCATTTCTGCAGCAAGGAATGCTCCACCCACCACCAGGCTCCCTGGCTGGGGTCCTTCAATGTCCAGCCTTCACCAGCCAGCCTACTTCATGATGGAGAGGCTCCCTGCTAACCAACTGGAGACTTTTCTTCCACACTGTAAGCTGATTTGATCTTTTTCCTGTCCTAGTACCTTGGAATTTCTGTAAACTCTACTTTGTACTCTATTTGATATAAAATGAAATACATTTTTTCTTTCACTTTGCTAGTTCATATTTTTATTGTTTTTTCATTTCATTTCAGTCCTGTCCAACAGTTTGTGACCTGACTTGGGTTTTTTGTTTTTGTTTTTGTTTTTTTTTCTTTTTCAAAGATGATAGAGTGGTTTGTCCTTTCCTTCTCCACCTCAATTTATGGATGAGGAAACTGAGGCAAACAGGGTTCAAAGACTTGCCCAGGGTTACAGAGCTACTAAGTAACTGAGTTTAGATTTGATGTAAAAAACAAAATACGACTTCCTGACTCCAGGTATGGTAGTTTTCCATTTTCCTCTATCTAGCTGCCCATTTACACACATCAGAATAAAATTAATTTCAAAAGAAAAATAAAATTAGTTGTCAAGTATTGCCAATGACCTGTGATCTACTTCTTCTACTCCCTCAGAATATTCCTATCCCAAATTGGGAATCCCTGATGTATATAAGGCTGTGTTATATATGGCTAATATATATGGATGTGGGAATGACTATTTAAGGGCACTTAACTATATTCCAGACACAATGAGAATCTGAGTAGAAAGTTATAGCACAAATTTCAGAAGGAAATACTCTCTTTCATCATCATTAATTTGGTTTAAGGTTCTATCCTCATTTTTCACTCATCTCTATGGTGGGTCTATGTTGTGTTTGTTCTTCTTTCTCCCAGAGGACCATGACATCAGGGAGATGATGACATGACTTGCAATCGGCTTTGATTTGAGTGAGGGAGGGCTATGCAAGGTTACCAGTCTCACTTTTTCCTCCAGAACCATCTGGGTTCAGTGGACAGATATTCATCAAGATAACTGAGATGGCCCAGGATCCAATGGGATTCTCTGGCCCTTTTAAGCTAACGACTTCCCAGATTCTCACTTTGAGTGAGGTAGGGTAAGATAGATTTCCATACCCAATTGAGTATGTGTGTTATTCCCTCCCTAAGCCAAATCCCATGAGAACAAGAATCACTCACTCTCTCTCAACTTCCCCCACCCCCCACACCTCCACTGTAAAAGCCTTTTCTTGTCTCTTTCATGTGAGATAATTTACCACATTTTACATCTCCATTTATCCTTCTCCCAGTATAATCCTCTCTCACCCCTTAATTTTATTGTCTGGATATTACGCCTTCATCTTCAACTCACCCTGTGCCCTCTACCTATCTATGTACCTCTCTCTCTCTCTCTCTCTCTCTCTCTCTCTCTCTCTCTCTCTCTCTCTCTCCCTCTCTCTCTCCTTATATATATATATATATATATATATATATATATATATATATATATACATATAATTTTTTTCCCTCCAACTACCTTAATACTGACAAAGGCCTCATGAGTTACAAATAACATCTTTCCGTGAAGGAATGTAAACAGCTCAACCTTATTAAATCCCTTATAATTTCTCTTTCCTGTTCACCTTTTCATGCTTCTCTTGAGTCTTGTATTTGAAAGTCAAATTTTCTGTTCAGCTCTGGTCTTTTCATCAAGAATGCTTCAAATTCCTCTATTTTACTGAGTATCCATTTTTTCCCCTGATGGATTATACTCAGTTTTGCTGGGTAGGTAATTCTTGGCTGTAATTCTATCTCCTTTGCCCTCTGGAATATCATATTCTAAGCCCTTCAGTCCCTGAATGTAGAAGCTGCTAAATCCTGTGTTATCCTGATTGTGTTTATACAATACTTGAATTGTTTCTTTTTGGCTGCTTGCAATATTTTCTTCTTGACTGGGAACACTGAAATTTGGCTACAATATTTCTAGGAGTTTTCCTTTGGGGATCTCTTTCAGTACGTGTTAGGTGGATTCTTTCCATTTGTATTTTGCCCTTTGGTTCTAGACTATCAGGGAAGTTTTCCTTGATAATTTCTTGAAAGATGCTGTCTAGGCTCTTTTTCTGATCATGGCTTTCAGATAGTCCATTATTTTTAAATTCTCTCTCCTGAATCTGTTTTCCAGGTCAGTTGTTCTTCCAATGAGACATTTCACATTGTCTTCCATTTTTTCATCCTTTTTGGTTTTGTTTTACAATGTCTTCATTTTTCATAAAGTCACTAGCTGCCAATTGCTCCATTCTACTTTTGAAGAAAGTATTTTCTTCAGTAAGCTTTTGGACTTCCTTTTCCATTTGGCCAATTCTGCTTTTTATGGCACTGTTACAATGGAACTCTGGAAGTTTTTGTTCCATAATATTTTTTAATTAAAGCAATTCCTGCTACTGTACCACTTCCCTTGAAGTTCACTAAATGAGCAGATGCTTCTACCCCAGCCATCTCTTGTGAAGAGACTCCTCTGTAGCCAACATCATGCAATTTGTACTTAGACCATCTAGATGACCACATGTTTCCATGAAATACTTTGCCAAAATTTGCTTCTGCTCTCTAGAATTTGTGGCTACCATGATGGGGTACCAGCACTTGCACAAAGATTGCCTCCATCCAATTGTGTTAGCCAGTAACATTCTGGATCTGTGTTTTCCACCTTAAGGAGAATATTCACTTTGGGAATGAAAGAAACCTCAGGAAATGCTTTTACTTCTATAGGAAGGTGGTTGTTGTAATTCTCAAGAATATAACTCCATCCCTTTTAATTAAAGACAACAGATGAAAATGCTCTCTGGAGATCTCTTTGGCTTCCTGGATTTTTTCCTTGATCACTACTTTCCCTGTTAATCTGAAGACCTTTCTTACACTCCAGAACACTTTCTTGCCGGGCCATTAATACAAAAGGATTTGGAGTAGGAAAGGACTTTAGAGAAACTCTGTTCTTTTACTATGCCTCCATTTTACTAATGGTGAAACTGAGTGCCAGAGATGAAGTAGCAGGAACTGCCAAGACATAGACATTGTAAGGAAACGGAAGAGAAAGCACGCAGAACTTTGTTAAGGCCAGGATTTATTTTCTGATTGATGGACAAAAAGCAATTAAATTGTTCTTTAGAGTCAGGGCTTCCTCACAACTGTAATGCAGAACATCATTTTTGCCATTTAGGTAGTAGAATCCTTCAGGCCATGGAAAACTCCAAATTCCTTAGTAAGACCCTTATCTGGCTGCTCAGGCTCCAACCCTCAGATCATGTCTCTGGAAGCCTCCCAATTCCTCAGTAAGTTCCTGTGTTGTGAGAAAGCTTTCCCTTGTCAAAGAGCATTCTCTCATCAAGACAGAGGGAGAGGGGTGTCCTTGACCAGCCCAAGAACTCTTCCTCTTGTGAAACTTCAAAGATCCATCCCCCTCCCTGTCCTATACACTCCCTGTACTTTCCCATCCATAGCCCCAAAGACACCTGCACCTTTGGATTACCTTATCAGTGTTCCTTGCATTTCTTTCCCATGCTCTTTTCTATATAAACCCTAGCTCGACCCCTGATGGGTGCTGCTTGATTTGGATGTGAATATCCCTGGCAGCCGCGCGCTAATAGCTAATAAAGTGCACAATTTAAAATTAGCTTGGGTCGTCAACTCGCTCATTTCTCGGTATAACAACAACCCTAAACAAATGTTAAAGTGCCTCCTCAGGAGCGAATCCTAAACTGGTGCACAAAGCTCGGCCTCTCCCCCCTCCCTCCTCCTCCGGGCTAAAAGGGGCAGGAATGAGTGGAACTCACATAGATTCCAGAGCCCAGCAGACAGCCGCCTCCTGGCATGTCCTTCGTATCTTTCCCTCCACCCTCTGTCCACGTGGTGACTTAAGCGGCCGCAGGGCAGAAATCCCCATTTTTCCCCTTCCTTTTTTTTTAAATTTTATTTTGTTAATAAAAGGAATGGTCATTTGGATTTTTGGCCAAAGACGAAACCCTCTGGTGAACTCACAGTTTCTATGCCCTTGGAACTGTGGGTGTTCCTGAGGGTGGCAATCAACTTTAATCAGTTAACAATTAATGAGAAGAAAGAATGTTACAATGAGATGTGGGCCCATTCAAATGAAGTGTGTGTAGGGGGGAGGGGTTGTACTTCTAAATCACCAGCCTTAGGAAATCTTATCCAAGAATTTATCCCCACCCAAACCTGACTAGAGAACCACTGGCTTCCTCACCTTTCATTTAATTCCTTGGAATGTTGGGTGGGATCTGAACCAGATTGAGGAGAGAATTAATTCTGTTTCCCCA